GCTGCCCGGACAGTGTCTGGGTCCCGGGCACCGGACCGCCACCCTGACACTTAGTGACAAAGGTTACACTGCATAGTATACAGCCCACTACTATTCAGTTTTACACATCCCAGACTAAACTTCTATATGCAAATATATATATATATATATATATATATATATATATATATATACATATATATATGTATTTTTTTAGTTTTGTATCCCCCATTCTGTCACACTATCTATTATTGTGAAAAGATCATTAAGTATCTTTCTCTTTGCTGATATTTTTAAGCATGGTTAAGCTTTGTCTTCACCTAGTGGCAATACCTTAGATTGTATCCACTCTACCCCTTTTTTGTCTAAATACTACAATAAAAGTTAAGTTTTAATTATTTTCCAACCATACTTCTGGGCCAAGAGCTAATCCCTCTCCGCTCATTATTAAAGTTAATGCTTTAACAATCCTTCTTTGCCATCCCTGGGCAACTCATTATTCTCTTCCCTTTCGGGTTTATTTAACTGTTCCAATTTATTTTAATTTATTTGATGAGTTTCTCAGATTTAATACTATTTAAATACCAGTTATGTTTTAAGAGAATCAAGTTCTTTTAAATTTTATCCTGCACTTTTATTTTTAAAAAATGTTGAATATTTTGAATACATTTTAACGTATTTATATTTGGTTTAATTTTATTTCATTCCTTGAGTATGAGTTATTAACCTTCAAAAAGAAGGTATAATCTTTCTCATTTGGGTAATGAGTTCTCCATATATCATAGAGGTTGTTGTTTTTTGCCAATAGGTCTTGAAATGATTTGACCATATTCTTGACTGTAAATCCTTTGATTTCCTATATTGCAGTTTCTTATCCAATTTTATGTCCGGGACAGAATTAAAGTCTCCAATGAAAAGTAAAACACATTGCGAAATTTGATCTATTCTATTTATTACCTTTTTTTGAATGAATTTAATTTGTGAATGGTTAGGACTATAGATATTCACCAACATATAACTCCTATCATTACTTTTACAAATCAATATAACACATCTGCCGATATGATCAGTTTCCTCGAGAATGGCTCAAATTTCACCCTGTTTAAAATTATTATAGCCACTCCTCTTTTCTTAGCTCCCTTATTTGTATTTGCTTGAAAAACATGTGGGAATCGAGAATATTTCCATAACTTCAGAGATGTGTTATTCAAATGTGTTTCTTGGACATACATTACATCTATATCCTTTTGATTTGAAGTATAATATAATTGACCTCTCTTATATGGGGTATTAAGGCCTGAGCATTTATTGAAATCACATTAAAAGTCATATTACTTTATTTTTGCTATTTGAAACTACCACCTGTCTCTGCCTTTACTGTTACTGCTAGCCCTATTCCTTAAATCTTTCATACTGGCACTACATACTACTTTCAATCTACTATCATTCTGCAATGAAAATCCTTGTAAGATCGGAATTGACAACTCCAATCTGGCCTATTTCCCACTTAGGCCACATTCTGGGTGTTGGCGGTTCTATGCTGAGGCTTTTTTATCTCATCTGTTTTACTTATTAATTATCATTTATCCCCCTTATTCCCTACCACTCCTCCTTTCCAAGATTTACCCCTAATAGTGATTTGTCAATAATCTTGTAGTTCTGGGAGAGGGAAAAAAAAGGAGAAGGAAAAAGTTACGAAAAAAAAAACCAGTAAAAATAAATCTGTGTATTCCCCCATCTACCTCAAACCTCTCCTTACATGTCTTTTTTCTTATTTATCTTTTTTTGTATGGTTACTAACTACTCCCTTTTCCTTCCCATTACTCTTTAATGTCATCCTCTGTGCGTGCAAGTATGATACTTTCCCTTGCCCCTTTCCTCACCCCTTCCCTCCCACACACCCTTTTTAATATCTTATATTATAAAAGGTGTAAATAATAGAAAAATACGTTTTACATTTTATTCCCATCTATTGTTATCTTACTCTTTGTGTATCAATATTATTCTTGTATTTTTCATTTACTTCACCACTTGACCTTTTTCTCACTTTCGTTAATTATCCCGTATCTAATAACAGAGAGTAAATTAAATTTTATTAGTGTTCTATTATTATATCCAAAATATTACATTTAGTTACTAGTGACACAGGAAATTGTATGTTCGTTTGTGCTGTCTTTCTAAAAGATGCTTTTATATCCTTCTATTTACCCCTTATCTACTTTCTCTTTACCCTTTAATTTCACCTCTGGTCACCAACTTTTGACTTCTATGTTAAATTATCCTGAGAGGAGAAGAGAAAGGGAAAAAGAAAAAATACTGTAGAGCAAACACCAATTATTTGCCTATTAAGTCCCATTATCTTTCCTTCATCATTTTTCCTTTCTTTATGTAAGGCCCCATAAGTTCAGTTGTGCTTTAGCATGGATTGGATCATTGAAGTTATATGTTTTTTTTCATCATACGATATTAATTCAATTGGAAAGCCCCAGTGATAGTTAATTTTCTTTTTTCATTGAATTTGTGTGACCTCTTGGAACAGTCTTCTGGCTGATAAAGTAAATGTAGAGATATCCGAAAAGAAAATTATATCCTTATATTTTTCATCTTTGATATTATTATTCCTCATCTCTTGCATCATTTTTTCTTTTAGATGATAATTGGCAAAACGGACTATAGTGTCTCTTGGACCCAATATTTCCTTTGGCTTCCTTAGCCTATGGAATCTCTCTAATGGATGTGCTCCATATGTTGTAATATCTGTGATGGTTGTTACAAAATTTAAGAGATACTCTTCTAGATCTTGGTTTTAAACATTTTCTGGGATTCTACTTATTCTCAGGGTTTACGCCTTGATCTATCTTCCAGATCTTATACTTTTGTCTCCAAGAATTAGATTTTATCCTTTAATTGGGCATTCTCTGTTTATATCTCAGAAAATTCATTTTGAAATTTTATTAATGTGTCTGATTGTTGCGACATCTGTTGATGTAAATTAAAAACTTCAGCTTTCAATTGGTTTGTGTTTGCATCCAAATCTTTTTTGATGCTCAATTTTAAGTTGTCCATCATTAAATTTAAGGAATTTTGAGATAAGGAGGGATTGCATGCCTCTTCTTCTGATACAATATCAGGACTTTGTTCCCTCTGTTCATTTGATCCTTCTAGAGCTTGTTTTAGAAGCTTCTTGCATTTTGGGTGAACAAAAAAGGTTAATTTACCTATTTTTGTCAGCAACCAAAGTCTTATATTTATTTGTTGCCATGTCCATTTTTTCTTCCTTCCCACCTCCTTCCCCCCACTCTTCCCCTTTTTCCCTTATCTCTTTTCCCCTTCTTTCCCCTTCTTCCTCTCCTCTCCAAGCGAGCCACTCACAGTTCATTCAGTATATTTTGACAATGTTATTCTCGTGAAGTGATTTGCGCTCTAGTATGGATTCTCAATCTGTCTACTCCACCTCCGGCTCTCCCAGGGCTGCACTCTCTCTCTCTGAGCCATATGTCCGATCCTATGTCCAGTGAGGTCCTGAGCCGCTTCAGTGCTCTATTCAATGGAGCTTCCTGTCTCTCGCTGATTGTTCCCTCGGGGCGCCACAGTAAGGTGAAGTAAGGGGAGAAGGGGCTTATTTTTTCTGCAGTAATTCACCGTTTCTTCTTATGGAAAGGGATAAGGGGAACATGGGGAGAGCTTATTGCTTGGTTTAGCCTCTCAGTTTCTGGGGCCTCTGACGCCAAATAGTATACTGCCCAACACCCACTCGTGCAGCACGAATGTACTTCAGGTCATCACGTCTCAAGATGTGATGTTATTCCAATATACTTGTGTGAAGGTAGTATAGTTGAAGGTTCTTGAACAGTTTTACTGACGGAAGGAATTCTTGAAAGAGAGTCAGCTTTCTTGTTTCTTGATCCTGGTCTGTAAACTACATGGAAGTTAAACCTTTCCAAAAATAGACTCCATCTGAGTTGTCTGGAAGATAAGGTCTTGTGGGTATGGAGAAATTACAAATTTTTATGATCAGTGTACACCAAGCATGTCAAACCCGCAGCCCGCATGTGGCCTGCAATGGACTGCAGAGTACATGCTTGGTGTTAAAGCAGAGTAGGCACCTGCTTTCCCCCATTGCACGTGCCTATTCTGCTAGCATTTATTTGGCCGGGGAGGAGGGCTAGCAAGGGAGCTCAGTGTTCCTGCTCCTCACTGCTTCCTCGCGTGCGCCGTCTGTAGTGAAGCTGAGCGCCGGAATATGAAGTCATATTCTGGCACCCAGCATCACTAAACTGTGTGCGAGGGAGCAGTGAGGAGCCGATAGAAGATCTCCACTGGACCCCAGGGAGAGGCCCTACATTGACTCCCAAAGGTAGGCAGCAATAAAGAAAATGATGTGTGTGAAAGAATGTGTAAATGTGTGTGTCTGTCAGTGAGTGTGTGTGTGTGTGTGTGTGTATGTGTCTTTCTGTTTGTGTCTGTCAGTGAGTGTGTGTGTGTGTCTGTCAGTGAGTATATGTGTGTGTGTCTGTCAGTGTCTGTGTGTTTGTCAGTGTCTGTGTCTGTCAGTGAGTGTGTGTGTATCTGTGATTGTGTGTGTGTGTATCTGTGATTGTGTGTGTGTGTGTCTGTCAGTCAGTAAGTGTGTTTGTCAGTGAGTGTGTGTGTGTGTGTGTTGCATTGGCCGTGACTGGACAGTGGAGTACCTGGGAGTGCATGGAGGCACCCAACGCCACGTCACATTCCGACGTGACATCGACGTGCACCACCTTTACAGGGTTTCAAGAAGTGGTGGGAGGATCAGATTTGGCACTGGATGCAGACTGCGCCATTTGGGGTATACCAGAGGCCAGACTCCAGAGTCGCATACTGGCAGCGGCAATGTGAGTGAAGTCTGCTTGCTGGCTAGAGGGGGGTGCTGGGATTTAGATTATGGGGGGGACTGGGATTCAGTAGAGGGGGTGCTGTGGTTTGGTAGAAGGGGATGCTGTTTTTTTTTTTTTAAACTGTACCTTTCAAAATAAACCTACATTTCTATGAAAATTTAAGGTTGTTTTTTGTTTGCGGCCCACATAAACAAGGATTAAGTTCATGTGGGCCGCAAACAAAAAACAACCTTAAATTTTCATAGAAGTGTAGGTTTATTTTGAAAGGTCCATGCTTGACTTTGAGTTTGACATGCTTGGAGTACACTACTATAGGATTATCATTATCTTCAAGAAGATTTCTCCAGTTTTCAAAAGAAGCCTTGATTTGAAGTAATTCCTTCTCTCCCTGCATAATTCTTTTCAGCAGGGGTTAAAGTCCTGGAGTAGTAATCAACCAGATGAAGAGGATCTTGAGGTGATTCCTGTTGTGATAGAACAGCACCAATGGCGTTGGCAGAGGCATCAACTACGAGAATATAATTTAAAGCAGGATTGGGCAGTTTTAATACAGAAGCTGAGGTAAACTTATGTTTAATAAAATCAAAAGCTTTTTGTGGGTCAAAAAAAAAATGTAAGAGATGTGAGGGGTTGAACAATGTCAGATAAGTTTCTTATAAATTTCCTTTAGAAGTTGGAAAAAACAAGGAAGCTTTGAACCTCTTTTAAACATGTTGGGACAGGCCATGAAAGAATACACTTAATTTTGGAGTCATCCATTTTTATTTGCTGAGAGGAGACAACGTATCCAAGAAAAGTAATTTTAGTAACTTCAAATAGACATTTTGGGGGGTTTGCATAAAGATAAAACCCACCTAACATGTTTTCTATGTTCTTGAAGTGTATCTGAATAAATTGTTGTCATCAAAGAATGGAAAGACACATATGTCAAGAAGATAGTGGAATATATTGTTTATGAAATGCTGAAAGAAGGCAGGCACATTGCATAACCCGAATGGCATCACAAGTTATTCATATAAGCTATACCTAGTACAAAGATCAAGTTTAGTATAGAGTGTAGCAGTAGTGATGTCCCGAACGGTTTGCTGGCGAATAGTTCCCTGCAAACATCGCTTGTTCGCATTCGCCACGGATGGCGAACGTATGCACTGTTCGGTCCGCCCACTATTCGTCATCATTGAGTAAACTTTGACCCTGTACCTCACAGTCAGCAGACACATTCCAGCCAATCAGCAGCAGATCCTCCCTCCCAGACCCTCCCACCTCCTGGACAGCATCCATTTTACATTCATTGTGAAGCTGCATTCTTAGTGAGAGGAGGGACAGTGTAGCTGCTGCTGATTTGATAGGGAAATTGATAGCTAGGCTAGTGTATTCAGTGTCCACTACAGTCCTGAAGGACTCATCTGATCTCTGTTGTAAGGACAGCACCCCAAAAAGCCATTTTTAGGGCTAGAACATCAGTCTGCTTTTTTTTTCTGTGTAATGTAATTGCAGTTGCCTGCCTGCCTGCCAGCCTGTGTGTCAGGCTCACAGCATATACTGTGCCCACTTGCCCAGTGCCACCACTCACTCACTGGTGTCCCAATAGCTTGCATTTAAAAAAAAACAAAAACTTTTTTGACTGTAATATAATAGCAGTCAGTTTCCTTCACGAGTGTGCATTTCAGGGCCTGCCCAGTGCCACCACTCACTCACTGGTGTGCCAATAGCTTGCATTTAAGAAAAACAAAACTTTTTTGACTGTAATATAATAGCAGTCAGTTTCCTTCACGAGTGTGCGTTTCAGGGCCTGCCCAGTGCCACCACTCACTCACTGGTGTCACAATAGCTTGCATTTTAAAAAAACAAAACTTTTTGGACTGTAATATAATAGCAGTCAGTTTCCTTCACGCGTGTGTGTTTCAGGGTCTGCCAGGACACAGTGTCACACCAGTGCAACTCATATTTGGTGTAACAGTAGTGTACATTTAAAAAAAAAAAATACAATTTTGACTGTAATAGATTGAATAGCACTTAGTTGTCTGCCAGCGTGTGTGTCAGGCTCACCGCGTATACTGTGCCCACTTGCCCAGTGCCACCACTTATAACCCGTGTCACAATAGCTTGCATTTAACAAAAAAAAAACTTTTTGGACTCTAATATAATAGCAGTCAGTTTCCTTCACACGTGTGCGTTTCAGGGCCTGCCAGGGCACAGTGTCACACCAGTGCAATTCATATCTGGTGTAACAGTAGTGTACATTTAAAAAAAAATGCAATTTTGACTGTAATAGATTGAATAGCAGTTAGTTGTCTGCAAGCGCGTGTGTCAGGCCTACAGCGTCTACTCTGCCAACTTCTGCCACTGCACAGTGCCACTCATATCTGTTGTCACAGTAGCTTGCACGCATAGTACGAAAAAAAAAATGTCAGGCAGAGGCAGGCCACCCCGCAGGGGCCGTCGTGGTTGTGGTGCTGTGATTCCCTTTGGCCCTAGAATAATGCCCAGTGTTCAGAGGCCACGTACCCTGAACTCGAAAAGTTCTGAGGACATAGTTGACTGGCTAACACAGGACACACAATCTTCTACAGCTTCCGCTCGGAACCTTGACGCACCATCCTCCTCCAGCTTAGCTTCGGGCACCTCTCAAGTTACCACTTGCCCGCCTGCCGCCACCACCAACACTAGCACCACAGCAGCTTCACTTGGTATGTCAGAGGAGTTATTTACACATCAGTTGGAAGAAATGAGTGATGCGCAACCATTATTGCCAGAGGATGTAGATAACAGGGATATGTCTCAGGCAGGCAGCATTACACACATGGACGTACGGTGTGATGATGATGATGTTGCACCCGCTGCTGCTTCATTTGCTGAGTTGTCAGATACAAGTGAAGTGGTTGATGATGACGATGCGTCGTGGATGTCACATGGGTGCCCGCTAGAAGAGAAGAAGAACAGGGGGAAAGTTCAGATGGGGAGACAGAGAGGAGGTGGAGGAGACGAGTTGGAAGCAGGGGGAGGTTGTCGCAAGGAGCTAGTGGCACAGTCAGACAGCATGCATCGGCACCCGGGGTCAGCCAGACAGCACGCCAATCAACGCATGCTGTTGCCAGCACCAGAATGCCGTCATTGCAGAGCTCAGCAGTGTGGCATTTTTTTTGCGTGCCTGCCTCTGACAACAGCGATGCCATTTGCAACCTGTGCCAAAAGTCGTGGGAAGTCCACCACTCACCTAGGTACAACTGCTTTGCGAAGGCACATGATCGCACATCACAAACGCCTATGGGATCAACACATGAGTACAAGCAGCACACAAACTCAAAGCCGCCATCCTCCTCCTGGTCTAACATCTTCAGCCACGTTAACCACTGCTGTCCTCCTTGCCCCCTCTCAACCATCCGCCCCTCCGTCTCTCGCCTTGAGCAGTTCCTGATCATCTGCCCACAGTCAGGTGTCTGTCAAGGACATGTTTGAGCATAAAAAGCCAATGTCACAAAGTCACCCCCTTGCCCGGCGTCTGACAGCTGGCTTGACTGAACTCTTAGCCCGCCAGCTTTTACCATACAAGCTGGTGGAGTCTGAGGTGTTCAAACAATTTGTAGCTATTGGGACACCGCAGTGGAAGGTACCCGGCCGAAATTTCTTTGCACAAAAGGCAATCCCCAACCTGTACTGGACTGTGCAAAAGGAAGTAATGGCATGACTGGCACACAGTGTTGGGGCAAGGGTCCATCTGACCACTGATACCTGGTCTGCAAAGCATTGTCAGGGCAGGTATATCACCTACACTACGCATTGGGTAAACCTGCTGATGGCTGCCAAGCATGGAATGTGTGGCCTGCTGCCACCTCCTCTACTCCTCCTACTCCATCCTCTTCCATAACCTCCTCGGCTGAGTCCTCTTCTGCTGCTGCGTATTGCTCCACATCAACGGCACCCCCCCAGCTCCCCAGGTACTATTCCACATCCCGGATACGGCAGTGTCACGCCGACTTGGGGTTGACTTGCCTGAAAGCAGAGAGTCACACCGGACCAGCACTCCTGTCCGCCCTGAACGCACAGGTGGATCAGTGGCTGACTCCGCACCAACTGGAGATCGGCAAAGTGGTTTGTGAAGGAAGAAATTGTTGGCGGCATTGCATTTGGGCAAGTTGACACATGTGCCATGCATGGCACATGTGTGTAATCTGATCGTACAACGCTTTGTGCATAAGTACCCAGGCTTACAGGACGTCCTGAAGCAGGCCAGGAAGGTGTGTGGCCATTTCAGGTGTTCCTACATGGCCATGGCATACTTTTCAGATATCCAGCGGTGAAAAAACATGCCAGTGAGGCGCTTGATTTGCGACAGCCCGACACGTTGGAGTTCAACACTCCTAATGTTCGACCGTCTGCTCCAACAAGAAAAAGCCGTTAACGAGTATTTGTATGACCGGGGTGCTAGGACAGCCTCTGCGGAGCTGGGAATTTTTTTGCCACGTTACTGGACACTCATGCGCAATGCTTGTAGGCTCATGCGTCCTTTTGAGGAGGTGACAAACCTAGTCAGTCTCACCGAAGGCACCATCAGTGACATCATACCATTTGTTTTCTTCCTGGAGCATGCCCTGCGAAGAGTGCTGGATCTGGCCGTAGATGAGCGTGAAGATGAAGAGGAAGAGTTGTGGTCACCTTCACCACCAGAAACAGCCTTATCAGCATTGCTTGCTGGACCTGCGGAAACGCTGGAAGAGGATTGTGGGGAAGAGGAGTCAGAGGAGGAATGTGGCTTTGAGGAGGAGGAGGAAGACCAACCACAACAGGCATCTCAGGGTGCTGGTTGTCACCTATCTGGTACCCATGGTGTTGTACGTGGCTGCGGTGAAGAACATACCTTCAGTGAGATCACTAAGGATGAGGAACAGGACATGAGTAGCTCGGCATCCAACCTTGTGCAAATGGGGTCTTTTATGCTGTCGTGCCTGTTGAGGGACCCTCGTATAAAAAGGCTGAAGGAGAACGACCTGTACTGGGTGTCCACGCTACTAGACCCCCGGTATAAGCAGAAAGTGCCTGAAATGTTACCAAATTACGGCAAGTCGGAAAGGATGCAGCAGTTCCAAAATCAATTAAAAAGTATGCTTTACACAGCGTATAAGGGTGATGTCACAGCACAACGGGAATCTAACAGGGGAAGAGGTGAAAGTAATCCTCCTCCTCCCCCCTCGACCACGCCGGCAAGGACATGACGCTTTACAGACGTGTTGTTG